AAATGTTATAGCGATAAGAAACTACCACGACACCCGTGGGTCCTCAGGATCCTCTCTAGACCGACTCTCATATTCCACGGTTACATTATCCGTCCGTCGAATCGCTCCCATCGGATGACTCTCAATGCGCCCATTGATTTCCTCTCGGAGAATGCTCTCCTGACTTCCCGCCGTTGTGATCTCATAGTCGGGCTTTCGTGGCTTGGACAGCTTGCTATGGTCGTAGGAGGAATCGGGCAGTTGTGAACTCCCCTTGTAGCGGTTGCGACTGTTGTTGTAGGAGCTTGTGGTGCGTTTACCGAGGATAAGTTCGAGAACGGGCTGGAGGGTCGGGATGCAGGAGGCGATTATGACGACGTTGGACTCGATGCTGCATTTATTAGGTCTGTGTTTATTATCGTATCGTAGAGATGTCGTAGAGATGGTCTTACTTTGTCCACATGACGAGTTCGGCGGTACCGTCTGTTGATGTTAGTATTTCTCTTTGGCTGATGGTGGGGATGCTCACAGGTGTAGTCGGTTTTGTCGGCTAACCCCTTCAATTGTGTACACTTGACGATGGCCATTGCGGAAGCACTACTAGGTTAGTCGCTGATTCCTCATGAATATGCATATACTTACACCGAGCCCAGACCCAAGGCTGCGCACAACGCGAGCCGTTTGCGCAACGACATGTGGAGTTTCATCAGCACCGTGCTCGGATAGACGGCCAGCATCAGATCGACAAACGCGGATAGGGCTGGGTGGTCAGCTGTTGCCAAACATTAATGGTCGCATGAACCAACCTCCAGTGAATATTGCGTAGTCGATCAAAATCCAGACGCCTTTGCAGGTTGCCTTGCCTTCTGTCACCAGATGTGTCTTCCACAGCGCCTCAGGCGGGTCGCACATCGTGAACAGCACAATGATGCATATCCCTGACACAACCGCAGCGAATCCAGTCAATGTCCACAGACATATGCGCTGAGTCATACTTGGGTTGAGGATCCGATTGAGCATCGCAGTCACTGCCAGCTTCGGAATCGCGAATGAGATTATCCCGAAAAGAAAGCTCAAGCAATTGAGGAATGTGGCACGTTCCACAGTCCTTTCGCTCAATAGCCATGCATGCTTCCCATATCCCATATCCACGTTTATTGTCGTGATGGCACAGTAGACGACTCCCATCACCTGTTGAAGTTAGTGGTTGTATCCTTCGCATGGTACATACATACCAACGACGCCGTGATCAGCCAGTCGTCCGGTCCGAGGTTGTGCAAAAGACTTGTCCTGATGTACATGCGCGCTATGACAAGGACGGATGTGAGACCTGTCAGTGCCCACAGGACCGATAGGATCATCGGACCTTTATTGTCGCTGGCATTTCCATCTTCTGACGAAGCCATTGTTGCGTGTAGCACAGGAGTTCGTGACGTGACACACAATCGAACGAGAAAAACGTAGCATGAATAAGAATCCCGATATTTATGGTCGCCTGCAGGGTACGCAAGGGAAACGCAGACAATATTATTCCGACAAGCGAAGGATTTCAGTCTACACCTTCATTTGACGATCTGTTCGATGAGCGGGTGACATCAAAATCTCCTTCAAAGGGAATTGCAGGGAATTGCGATGACTGATAGACATCCCTTACTTCCAGTAACCTCTCCTTTCGTGTATTAATCGTTTCATTCTTTGGCATTGGTAGCCAATAATTCTCTCGATTAAAGGTGAGCCAGGAAGGTCGCAAATGCCGTGTGGCGGCTAAGGCATAATACGGTGCTGATGATGGCAGGGATTAGCTGGTCTGGCTAGCCCTGGATCGTCCATTTTGGTAACCTTGCAGTAGATCCGTGCCACCGGTGGATAGACAAGGCGAACAGTGACAAACTGGATGTCCCGTTGGCAGGACAGGATCCATATGGTCAGTTGACAGACGGGTAGTGGGGCCGCCACGCCGTTCAGAGGAAGCTTAACATAACCATTATACCCCGAGCCACTGTGATGGGTCTGATTCAATATACCAGTCATAAGACTCCCTCAAAGGTAATAAAATAGTGAGGTGGTACTTTTGCTGGCCCTTGCTCCAGAGCTATGAGCCGGGATACAACTATCAAGAATGAAGTGTAGATATTTGAAGAATATCAAATCAGCCAGTATGATCACGCAAGGTTCCGGATGGAGCACTCAAACGCCGAAGGATCGCTAGCCTGTTCTCAAAGGAATATCGGACCTTTTAAGGACTCCAATTCCCAAGTTACACCAGCAGGCTGGGTCACGCCGTTGGGCCCATCCGGCTGAATGGACAACCGCCAAGTCAGACCGACAGCAATGTTGTGTCCTAGCTATTATGATGGTTTGTTATGCTCCCGTGTCAAGGTTCAATATGTCAGGTACTGTGCAGTAGTGGACTCTCCTGAAGTTCGATCCAAGTCGCCCATTGTTATACCTATTATTGACTGTATCAGCTCATATCTAATATGGAAGGAATGAATGTCTAGGCGGCATGTGTTGATACTTAATTCAGAGGGGCACGGTCTACCGGTAGATACCCGAGCAAGAACCTTTCCCAATCTGTCCATGTACCCAGTTTCTAAATTACCCCCTGGTATGGCTTGAAAAGAGGTACGTGTACGCGTCCAATGATGATCACGATCCTTCTGTCGGTACTTTCCCGCCACGTTGTGTCACTAACGGTGAAGCCCCTGAAATAGGAGGGTAATGATTGCAATGGAGCACGGTAAGGGCAGCCACGAATTACTTCTTATGGGATAGTTGCTTCCACCTTGACCTTCATTTCAAATTTTAAGCCATGTAATTCATTGTACCTTCCGATAGGCCACGTTGGTACCACGTTATGGTTCATAGGGCCTTCACTATTGATATAACAGAGCCGTCATCCGCACTATGTCCTATCGTTCACAGATTCCCCTTCATCTGATCTATCTGTCGCCCAATATACGTCATAAGCCACCATGATAAGTGCAGCAGAGGGCAGCCCCAATGGCAACAGCTGCTGCCAGCCAAACGGCAGGATGGACGATCATGCACAGCAGGCCTTTGTTGATGACAACGTTGCCATATCTCCAAATGCCCCTGAGGAGGTCCCCACTCTTCTAAAGCGCATAGCATTGCATGGTGAGGCTTACCTCACAGAGAATGATGAGAACGAGCGAACGAAGATTCTCGATGCAGCGCGATCATTGGTCTACGCTCTTGAGACTCCCCGAGAGGCCATCATCAGACACTGCTGGTCGCAGGTGAGCCATAAAAACTAGATAAGCAAAAGTGCAAGCACGCTAAGGGTCATGGTAGAGCGCACTATATGCAGCTTTGGAAACCGGCGTCGACCTGGGGCTTTTTACTGCCCTATCGCAGAACGACAAACCGAAGACAGCTGGCCAACTTGCCACAGCTACCGGTGCTGACCCAACGATGCTTGGTAAGTAATCACACTGGTATCATGTTTATGGAAGTTAACTTCTTAGCCCGCATCTTGAAGCACCTCGCGGCCATGGGCGTGATCACAGAGACTGGTCCTGATGAATACCGTCGGACGGGATTTTCCATGTCAATGATGTCAGATAGATACAGTGACTCTTATCCTTGCATGTACGATACACTCACATATTGGCTATATTGGCAATTAACTGGACCTAGGACTGGTTGCATCACTGATGGCGTCCTTGCCCTCCCCGCTCAGCTTAAGAAAACGAACTACCGAAACCCCAGTGACGGGAAAGACTGCGCCTTTCAACGTGGGTTTAGGACACCGCTCCACTTTTTCGACTTCCTCACAGAGAACCCTATTCATGCCGTCCAATTTAACAATCACATGTCTGTATACCATCAGGGACGACCGAGCTGGATGGATGTTGGCTTCTATCCGGTGTTGTCGCTAGTTGCCGAGGCAAATATCAGCGATCATGACACCTTGCTTGTCGACATGGGGGGAAGCTTGGGACACGATCTGTCAGAGTTCCGCCGCAAATGGCAACAGGTGCCAGGTCGGCTCATTCTCCAAGATCTACCCAAGGTTGTGGAACAGGCCAGAAGCATGAACCTGGATCCGGCTATCGAGCTCATGACACATGACTTCTTTACAGAACAACCGGTCAAGGGTGAGTGCTGTATCAAGCCTTTTAAAGCTATGGCTGACATGTATGCAGGCGCCCGTGCGTATTACATGCATTCTGTTTTGCATGACTGGACAGACGATGACTGCCGTCGCATATTGGCCAATGTTATTCCTGCTATGAAGCGGGGGCATAGCAAGCTTTTGCTAAATGAGAATGTTATCCCCAGCACGAATGCATACTGGGAAACTACCAGTCTGGACATTATCATGATGGCCGATTTTGCTTCGACTGAACGCACGGAGAAGCAGTGGCGGTCGCTGGTGGAATCCGCCGGACTCAAGATCATGAAAATATGGACCGTGCGAAGGGGTGTGGAGAGCCTTATTGAGTGCGAACTGGCTTGATGATGCTGTCACTTCTTCAACAGAACATCTAGGGGTTTATACTGTAGTAATATCATTCTACTTATGAGTCTTGTTTCATGCTGCGTTGATCTTACATCTAAAGTGATATGTGTATGCCTTATGATTCAAGGCGAGTCTTCATATTTACACAGGTAATGGCATGCTCTAACTTCCCTTGCATGTTGTTGGGACATCCGATAAAAAAGAATGGTATTTGGGACATAGTCCCATCGAACGGACGGCTACAAGTATCAAGCGCAAGGGGTTTGTTTGACAACCAATTATATGGCCTAAGGAGGTATCATAACAACCTTGCAGCCTAAAAGACAATCTCTAGACGATGTGTAACATCCAATCTGGGTTCCTGGCAGATTCTCTGTGTCCCATCCCACTACTCCCTACCTACCCAGTGACTCAACAAACCGCTCAGGAGCCATAATGTATCTCCACCTTCCATAGTAGTTTAAAATCCTCCGTTTTCTGTCATTCTGCTGTGGCCCGGCTTTCATCCACAACAAAACCCAAAACGATACTTACAATGAATAAGTGAGCATATGCCATATCAACAGTCTCGCACTGACAAATTTCAGAAACGAAGCTGCTTCGCCCCAGGCAGATGACTACCCAAACTTCAACCTTGGCTCCTACCACCGACCCATCGCCACATCCTCCCCAGCCGCCCAGCGATGGTTCGACCGCGGTCTAATCTGGTCCTATTCCTTCAATCATGGCGAAGCAGCACGATGTTTTGAACGAGCAGTCGAATGCGACCCCGCCTGCGCACTAGCCTACTGGGGCATTGCATACGCCATCGGACCGAGCTACAATATAGCCTGGGGCTTCTTCGATATCCCCAGTCTCCTAGAAACCGTGGGAAAGGCATGGGATGCGCTCAATGCCTCTCAGAAACATGCTACGCATGCATCCCCACTCTTCCACATGCTGCTAAAAGCCATCGCAACTCGGTTCCCTACCCCGGATACCATCCCCGCTCCTACTGAGATGAGACAATACAATCAGGCTTATGCAGACGCTATGCGCGTTGTGTATGAAGCCTACCCAGATGATCTCGACGTGGCATCGTTGTTCATTGAGGCGCTTATCTGCGTTAATCCGCGCGAGCTGTGGGATATGAACACAGGTGAAGCGAGCAGCGCACATACCCTCGAGGCGAAGGCGGCAATCGATACTGCAATGGCACGTCCGGAGGGTCGAGAGCATCCTGCCCTGTGCCATCTGTATATCCATCTCATGGAGATGTCGGCTACGCCTGAGGTGGCCCTGCCTGCTGCAGACAGACTGCGTCGTATGATCCCGGATGCGTCGCATATGGTGCACATGCCTGCGCATATTGATAAGGCTGTTGGTGACTATCGCCGGGCAATTGATTCCAGTGATGATGCTATTGTAGGCGATGATATGTTCTTCGCCACATTGGAAGCATCTCCGCTTTATGTGGCCTATCGAGTGCATAACATTGTCACGAAGCTGTACTGCGCTCTGATGTCTGGTCGGTCGCGAGAGGCCATGTTGGCTGCGGATAAATTGGACGAGGTGGTTGATGTGAAATTACTGGCTACTAAATCACCCCCAATGGCAGACTGGACGGAAAGTTTCTTGGGCAGTCAAGCGCATGTTCTAGTGCGGTTCGGTCGCTGGGAAGAAATTCTCCAGTTAGAACTACCAGCACCACAGGACCGAGACTTATACTGCTGCAAGACAGCTAACGTCCTATACGCCAGGGGCCTCGCCTTCAGCGCCCTTGGACGTATCCAGGAGGCAGAAGTCGCCCGGCAGGAGTTCGAGGAGGCGCGCAAGCGGGTGCCGAGATCCCGGATAAATAATTTGCCTGTTCGGCAGGTCGATTTCCTTGCCGTCGCATCTTTCATGTTAGCAGGTGAGTTGGAGTACCGCAAGGGGAATATTCGATTAGCCTTTGCAACGCTGCGTCGGGCGATTGAGTTAGAAGATGGCCTGGCGTACTGTGACCCGCCGGCGTGGATGCAGCCCGTGCGGCATGCCCTAGGTGGGTTGCTGCTGGAGCAGAAGCGGGTCCCCGAGGCGGAGCAGGTCTTCCGGGAGGACCTGGGCATGGCGCAGGGGTTTCCGCGGCGTAAGGGCCGATTGAATAATGTGTGGGGGTTGCATGGACTGCATGAGTGTCTGGTGGCTTCTGGGAAGATGTATGAGGCTCGTGTTGTCCAGGTGCAACCGGATATTGCGTTGGGGTCGGCCGATGTGCCTATCTCGACTTCGTGTTATTGTCGCTTGTCTGCGGTTAATGGAAAGGGCTGCTGTGCTCGTCTTTGATGATACGTTTCCTACAACAGCACAGCAAGTATGTAGTCAGAATGGGTCATCGCATCTGTCACTTCAACATGGCAGATGTTCGGAAAGCCTTCTTGGCAGTATTCACAGGTCTATATAATACACTTTGTACAAATCCGTCACTTCTATATACAATCCGACACTCCGTAACCATAAACTATAAGAAGATTTTTACTCCGCACGAGGATCCTTCCAGAGGGGATCGACGAAATAGACTAGCCCATGCGCCACCGCTGCAGCCAGGGGACCAACCTAGTATTATTAGTACATGGTCCGAATTTGAAGAGGGCTGCTGGAAATGAAACTCACCCAATGAATCCAATGATACGTCGGAAATTCACTGGCGACATACGCGCCGAAACACCTTGCTGGATTAACGCCTGCAGCTTGTCAGTCACCGTACTTCAATATCGAGAATTGAAACACTCACTAGCACCAATGTATCCTTCCCTCGTAAACGCCGTTCCCCAAGTAACAACTCCCAACACAACACCGACCAACCACGGCGAAACAGCATGACCAAACACCTTGGCCTGTCTGGGGTCCAAGGCAACACCAAACGCCAAGAAAATCAGAATCAGACACGCAAAAAACTCAATGACCAGTCCATCAGTTGCGGACACCATGGTCGAATCAATGTGGCATCCTCCCACGGTGAACTCACGCGTGCCGTACGCGGAGTGCATGGCGAAGCCGGCGAGTGCGCCTCCCAGTGTTTGGCCAGCCAAGTAGAGGATCATGCGCGGGAAAGTGATAATGCGGGCGAAGAAGGTGGCGAGAGTAATTGTGGGGCTGATGTGGCCACCACTGGAGGGGGAGAAGGTGTAGATGAGCAGCGGAGTGAGGAGGAGGTTGGTGAGGCCGCCGAATGTTGGGGAGAAGAAGGTGACTGTTCCGTAAACGCCAGCTTGGCCTTTGGGAGATGTTGTTGCGGAGAGTGGGTGAGTTGTTACCCAGCAGGTGATGAAAACGTTCATCATACTTGCTGTTGGTTATACACTTATTAGCTTGGGGCTCATCTTTGGTATGGGGTAGGACTCCGGAGTATGCGGGGGAATTACCTATGCATTCTAGCACAGCAAACTTCCATAGATCCACGCTCAGGAACCCCCGCAAGTCGAATATCTCTTTTAGTGTCATGCACGGTGCTGCGTCGGGCACCTTCTCTAGCACCTTTGAGTTCTTGGGGTCCGTCCTATCAACCACGAAATCCTGGTTTCCACCCATGCGGCCCGCGAACGGCGGGATGGCGGGCTCGAGCCCATGGTGCTGGGGATGTGTTTCGTCGCTTTCATATTCGGGGAGATAAGTGACCACCATGGTTCGTTTGGGTGAGGGGGTGCGATGACTGCTGCTGCTATCGAGATAAGTGGTTTGTTTCTGCAGCATGTCAGAGAAAGATAGGAAAAGATAAGAAAGGATTGCATGCAATTGATCGCGTGGTGAAGGGGACGTTTTTGTGATCGGGAGGCCCCGGTCTAGGGCTGGAGAGGCGCGATCGGGATGAAACGGGATGCAGAAATGGTGATGGTCGGTCGGCAAACTCGGGGGCGCCGCAGAATTGTGGGTCGTTTAGCCGAGATAAAGAAGGCTTCTAGAAATTATTTGCAAAATCTATCTGTCGAGTTGAATTGATCGGCCAGTGAGAGAGCCGAATTGCCAGATAAGCTACGGCCGATGGCTGGCCGTGGGGATCATCCTTCAACCGACCGCATTGATTGTGGAGATGCCTGTCTGTGCTATCATCGTGCCCTTGCTACCACTTGCTCTATATGAGACGGGAATACCCCGAGGCTTGGTGTGGCAGTTTGGTAGCGAAGTCAGCTTGGGGTCCGGAGTAGCGGTGCCGATTTCGTGTCCGTGATGTCACCCGGCATTTTGACCCTGCTGGCCCGGCTCCGAACAGGTTATCTATGAGCCCGCATGGTGCAACATGGTATGTGCGCGTCTCTGTGCTCGGATTTAAATGTACGGTTGTGCACCACGGAAGCTGCCACGCCTCGGTCGGGTGCCGGAGTCTATTTCCATAGTTTGAGTGGCACTCTTATTCCGATGGTTCGGAAGCGCCCTCGGCCGTTGATCGAAACTGGGGCATTGCATTATTGTGCACGGGAGGGAGTAGAGTAGCTGTTAGTCAAGGTGTCTCAGATTGCTGCTAGTATCTGATGATCTGTTGAGTCGTGACATCTCAGAATTTAGTCTATGAGGCCGGGATAATCCCAGAACATGCCACCTGCTTCTAAGCGAATGTCAGCGATCTTAGCGTTGCATCATGCTCAACACAATTAAATGCAATACTATTAGAGAAGACACAGTCCTTATGTTATTCTGCAAAAAGGTATAACATTCATTTAGTGTTTATTTTGTCAATGATCTCGCGACGCGTAGCCCGATATATATATTCATGGTTAAGCCGGCAAGTGTTAGCACCTAAGTACCACTGCCAGCGGAGCTCTCAGACCAAGTTGATTAACCGAACTGAACCAGGGCATCACATACTTTACATCGAATATGCATGTCCGCAGAATTAGCAACCAATGAGTGGTGGTAGAAAGCAAAAAAGTTGCCTTAAATTGGCACTGCACATAAATTTGAGGATAGTTATAATGGTGGTGCCACTGTAACGCTGCATCGCAGTCGTGATAAGTAATAGTTTCTCTGATATTGAAGGACTATTTATTGCTAGGAAACTACTTTCATCCATAACGAAACTGTCATGCAAGAGCTTCCAGCCGATTACCGCTAGTCCAAAGGAACACGTTGGTTGCGTGTACCGCTACCATATGCAAGCATCTTCAAAATTGGCATGACCCACTCCGGCCCGCTCATCCCTACTTAAAAGAGGAACGGCACCAACATGCGTGTTGTGTGACGATACTCCTTCCACTGTTGACCAAACGTCTTCTCTAGCAGTTCCTCCTCTTCCTTTATTCGTACCCATCCGATCGTTGGCAGACATATAGCCCAGAACCACCAATGTACAATGGTCACTTCGTGCAACAGTGGTAGTCGGGCATTAAACATGCAAGTACACCATCCTCTCTTGCCCAGAAATACAACACTGCAGGGGCCTGGATGGCTAATCCAGCGTATGCTGGATGACGAACGTGGCGATAGATACCCGTAGTGACAAGGCGATGAGGCTTTGACAGAGAACGTGAAGCATGAGCCTAGTTGCCAGAAGGCGTAGATACGAATACAACTACCGAGGCAGATCAATGCGAGAGCAGTTGTGGTTCTGCAAGTGAGAGCAAGGTGATCATGTCGGACATGCTCTAAATTCGGGCAAAGCGCTTGCTGCTGTGTTCGTGGAAGAGTGACGAGTAGAGCGTGAAAAAGGCCCACTGCGAGGTAATACACGCGGTAGACTGAGGATGCAGTGATCACACCATGCTTCTTCAGAGAGTCGGTCGCCACTGGTGATGAGGTATTCGAGCACTCCAGGCTTTGGCAGTTCAGCAGGGTAGTCACCGCCAAAACAAGTGAGAAGATGATCTGCATTCTGAGATGACTATTTCATAAAGCCGATCTCAGTCTGGGGTCGCAAGTCTTCACCCAAAATATATTAGCAAAGGGCCGAGCGCCCTCTAGGTCAGATCCGGCAGGAGATGTCGTTCTGCTAAGATTTCTAGCCTTGTCAATGCGCATGCAAGCATCCGAGGCCACTGTGCCACTGCTGTGGAAGGTGTTGCGAGACTAACAACGAGGTGAACCGGTCACACTGACAGGGACCCACATTCCTCACCATGATGCAGCAAACCTTGTATAGACTTCATTGTACCAGGATCAGTTGCACTGTTCCAGCTAGGTGGTCGATTACCACATCGGGAAAGACACATGTCATACCGCATACCTACACGTGGATCATGCCGTGCCTCAATGGTAAGCTACACAACTTTGTTGGATTGAGTTTTGTGAAGCGTGCTTGTACCTTGGACGTGGCGATAAAATGCATCTTCGGGTACTTTATATTTCCAGTATCCCCGTATGACTTACCTGACAGTCCTTTTACCCCACCTACCATCTTATCAGTGAATCGTTGTCAGAATGTCGCCGGATCTACCTTGCATTGTATTCGTGATGTCCTTTTTGCATAGACCCGATAATCTTGATCATACAGAGCACCATGTCAGACAAGAGACACCCAAGCAGATCGACGGACATACCCACCGGCGAAAACACTCATCCGACTCAGAAAAGACACTTACAGTCGAGGACTGGGCAACAAGTCGCGAAAATCCACATAATTGGCCTCTCGCAAAGAGAGTCATCACATCCCTCGTGGTATACATCTACACGTAAGTTAACCCAATCACACCTCGAACAAAAGTACCTATCTAAAAGTACAGTTTCGTGGTGTATTCCGGGTCATCCATGTTCATTACCGCCGTCCCATTGGTAATGCAGGAGCTGCACCTCTCCGAGCAACGCGCCATGTTAGGGCTGTCCATCTATGTGCTCGGGTGTACGCCTCACCCCATGCAATGCTACCCCATAACCCTATACTCACTTCAACAGACGGCGTCGGACCCCTCCTCTGGGGCCCGCTCAGCGAGATCCCCCGAATCGGACGCTCGGTCGTCTACTTCGGTACATTCGTAGCATTCATTCTCGTCACGATCGGAGCCGCCGAAGTATCCAACTACAGCGCATTCGTCTTCCTTCGCTTCATGCAGGGTCTCTTCGGCAGCCCGTGCCTCGCCAACGGCGGCGCCTCCATGCACGACCTCTACCCCGAATCCCAGTTCCCCTACACTCTCGCTCTATGGGTAGCTGCAGCGTACTGCGGCCCGGCTCTCGGACCCCTGCTCACCAACAGCCTGGTCAACAAAATTTCCTGGAAATGGACCATGTGGCTCCTCGCCTGTATGTCCGGCCCGGTATGCATCCTGCTCTTCCTCCTGCCTGAAACTTACGCCCCGACCATACGATACCGCAGCAGTGCGTTCAATACCAGCAACAACCAGAACAACAACAATACTAGTGAAAGTGACAACCCTCTCGCCAAACTGAAATTTTACCTCGTCAAACCCGTCCAAATCACCCTCCAAGACCCTGCCATTCTCTTCGCCAACATCTACACCTCCTTCATCTACGGCACGTATTATACCTTCTTCGACGCCTTCCCCATCGGTTACCCACCCGTCTATAATGTATCCACTACAACCCTCAGCTTATTCTACCTCTCCGTCCTAGTAGGGTGCGTCCTCGCAGTAGCAGCCTACTTCACATACCTCTCCCTCCCAAACTACCTCCGACAACACCATCACAGCACCTCCCCTAAATCCACCCCAACCCGCACACCCCCTACAAAACACGAACGACACCTCATCCCCGCCATCCCAGCTACCTTCCTCGTCCCCATTTCCCTCTTCCTCTACGGCTGGACCCTCCGCCCCTCTATCCACTGGATCGTCAGCATCATCGGCGTGACAATGTACGCTAGCGCAGTGTTCATCATCCTGCAGTGTCTGTCCATGTATATACCCAGTATATATCCCGAGTACGCGGCGAGTCTGTTTGCGGCCAATGACTTCTGTCGGAGTACGTTGGCTGCTGGGGCCGTGCATTTCGGGATCCCATTGTATAAGAATTTGGGGATGGCGAGGGGGTCAAGTGTGCTGGGGGGTGTGAGTGGGTTGGGGGTTTTGGGACTCTTAGGGATTTATTATTTCGGGGAGAGGTTGAGAGCGAAGTCGAGGTTTGTGGAGAGGTTGGTGGAGTAGATTTGCTAGGAATGGGATGAGGAATTGATTGAGGGTTGTGATGGATCGAGATAAGATGGTAACGGTATTGTATTATATGGGTTGTATTGTATACACTGTCTCGTCGCATGGGTGCTTAGATCGGTTTTGACTAATATGAAATTGAATTGAAATATTGATCTATCTTATTAATCGGAATATTGAGCTCTCTGGCTATATCTACGAAGTGTAGATTCATTGTTTTTCGATGGTGTATATAGTATCAAATGTGGATTAGACAGGCGGATCCTACCAGTTGTTGTTTGCTTCACATTGAACTCTTTCATGGGTCATTCATAAGCCTTTTCATATTCAAACCACCTAACACCACCACGTCTACTCACAATCTAATCTAGCAGCGCATCCAATCCATCTCTATCACTCACAACGCCAATCCACCCAACAGCAACCCACCCAGAACCAACACAACCACCACGCACTGACGATAAAACCCGACCGGCGCTTCCCCACGCACCAAAGAAGCTTTCTGGACCTCCGCACTCGGAAGCACCACGCCCGTCTCCGCCAGAGCCAAGCCAGCCTTCCGCTCCGGATACCGCGGCGGGTTCAGCAAATAGGAGACGGGCGCCCAGTAACTGGCGATGGAGAGGTAGCAGATGTGAAGCATTGGCGGCCAGGCAATTGTGGTGAGCAAGCGGGATAGCAAACCATCGTCGGTGGTTGTGATGGCCGAGTAGATCGAGTAGACGATGGATGCAATAGTGGCAAGCAGAATCACAACGCTGTATGCGATCCCGTTGTGCCACAGATTGTGGTAGAGCTTTTGGAGGGATGTCGGGGTCGCGCTGCGATTCCATGAGTTGGCGCTGCTGCCAGTCACGAAGGAGCCTTTGGGTCGGCTGGCGAGGAGGTGGAATCGAGCGACAGCGTGGATGTGTGCTGTTGTTGTTAGTTATGTCTTGAATCATAGTGGAAGGCAAGAGAGAGCTTCCATCTTCATGGAGGGATGCAATGTGAGAAAAATGTTAAAACAAAGTAGTGGCATTGAAATCCAGACCCCTTCCATGTCCATAATAGAACGGGCAACGACGATACGCGGGTGTAAAGCAGAAAAACAAAAACAAACGATGTGTATCTTACCTCCAGCCAGCCAGATATTTTCAAAACGAGAGAACGGAAAGCTTTCGAATCCCGTATGCGCACTCTGCAAAAGTCCATACGCCCAGGTCAAGGCAATATGGAGAACAGCCAAGAAAAACTGTGCTTTGGCCAGCAGTGGCGAAACGTCTGGGACCAGCTGACCCGACACCAGAAGCAATGGAACCATCGCAAACGTGATCAAACAGCCAACTGCCCCAGCCATGATGAAGACGCCATTCCATGCAATACTCCACTGCAGTGAGCGGGGAAGCGTCTTGTTTGTGGGCGGCATCAACACCCGAAGCTGTTGGGAGTGGCCAATGTGCCACCGGTTGCGCTGTGCAATGTGTCCATCCAAGGACGTCGGAACCAACCCATACTGTAGTGGCTCCTGGACTTGAATGGTGCGGTGGCCTAGACCCTTCAGAACAAGCGAGAGCTGCCAATCCTCGGAAAAGGAGTACGTTGGATATCCGCCGGCATCGATGATGGCTTGTCGCCGGAAAAGGGCCCCGGAGCCTGCATCCTGAGCAAGGCCCCGACGATCGAGCTCTGCATTTTCACATGTGTAGAAGTGGAGGCGTGACTGAGACAGGGGGTCACCTGATGGGAGGTTATAAAAGTACTGCCGGGTGGTGAGGAGCACTGCGTCCGGGTTCTGGAGGAGATGGGACAACGTCGCCCTCAGAAAGTGAGGCATGGGGATGGAGTCTGCGTCAAAGATGGCACAGAACTCAGGTGGCGCCTTCTCTTGCAGGGTGTAGAGGGCGTAATTCATGTTACCAGCCTTGGCGAAGACTTTACCGGACTGCCTTCCCCGGGTGTGGTAGAAGAGGTGAGGCCATTCGGTGCGCAGTGATGCAATGGCAGACTCGAGCTCTGTGGAAGCACCGTCGTCCAGTACACGGACCCGAAAGCTGGAAGTTGGGTAGTCCATCGTACAGGCAGCGCGCACGGTGTCTAGGATGACGTCGACTGGCTCTCCACAGCAGGGCACCAGAATGTCCACCTGCGGTAGATCGTCGGCGCCGTGTAATCGCAGTCTTTTGCGTGGTTGGCCATCTGATGCCGAGCCACCTAATAAGGTAAGAAGCTGATCATGGCGCCAAATGTCTGACAACATATTAGCTTGCGCGTCCTCGTTTGCTCAGGAAGGGAGCCGGGATGCCGAAACACGGCAGCTCACGGTGGTATAGACATACTGGCGAGGACGATCTCGACCAACAGAGTTAGCCATACTCGCCAATCTTGTTGCACGGCAGAGAAACACAGAGCTAGTCGAAGGACGAGGTAAAAGTTGAAGGTCCATGATGCCAGATGGGCTACGTAATAGAGCAAGCGCCGGTGCCGCTGTCCCGCGATAACGCGATGGTCAGGCGGGAGCTCCTGAATGTTGTAGAGCAGTTTAGACAGCATTTGTCGGAGCGGCGTGTCGAAGGCCACGGTCAGCTGCAGACCCTGAAAACCAAAGCAGTTTACGATGCGTGGTCAGCTAGAGTGTTCCACCGAGTCTGACACTCTGTTGCTCGTGAAACTGGCCAGGGTGCTTAGTAGCAGAGCATGGATCACCACACCACTGCAATGACCGGTACTATGCACACAATACCCGTGAAATACAAACACACTCACAGCGCATGGTCGACGAGAAAAATGAGAGAAAGGAGAAAAGCCTCCAAGGGCATCACAGGCCGGGCTTTTTGTGCGGCCGCCCCCTTTTGCCTTGGGGTTCTAGAATTTACCACACGTGCTCCACTAATTCCCTAGTCGGGATGTCTGGTGATCTTGGACGGCGGAGTAGGAGATTCATCTTGTAGACTTAGATTTGTTACTGGAGGCTTGAACAGTATTCTTAATTGACGACTTTCACATGATGCGCTTTCCATTCCCCTCTCATCTATCCCCTTGATCTTCTTACTTGCACGGAAAAACAGGGCTGCATTAAGCGATGGATTGCATGAGTGAGAGGATAAAAGTGCAGCCAGCATCTGGAGAGGAGGACCGTGCTCATCCAGGTCAGCCCGGTGCAGTCAAGTGCGTTGTGAATGAAAAGAGGTGGTGGTGGTGGTGGTTGTGAAAGGTTGAAGCAGCAGGTATCCGTGAATTTTAGGCGGCAATCCGCTGTGAAGGCCAGTGATTGGGGCGCACAGTTCATTCGGCAGGGATGGGGAGATGCATTGGCCAGACCGCCTCTTTGCAACCAATTGCCTGGCATCCTGTCATCTTCCGGGCCGACCCTGGAGAGCTCACTATCCATAGTTGAAGGAGGCTTCGCCCTCAATTAGTCTAGACTGCGACTGGTAGGGTCTTTTCGCCGCCACTCTCCCCATCATCGGCACCCCGCAGGCTGCAGGGTGGACCGGAAGGGAAAAACCTGATCAGTAATTCTATCCCATCACCAGACAACAGGAACGAGAAAAGATTGCCATGGAGCGGATGTGCTGGATGATCGATCTCCTGTCAATTGCTTGTCAGAACAAGTCCCCGCTTAATTGGAACGGCTGGGGGAAATCGTTGCAGGGGTTCGTTCACCTCAGGGCTGCTGCTTCAGTTTTGAGGTTCCGGGGACATCCGGCAGCACGCCAGCCAATAGAAGGAAGGATCGGGATGTGGACAATCTGGGATGTCGGCCAATCACGTGATTCACATGTCTGGGGTCTCGAGTCCGGTTTTTCGACTCGTCGAGGGCCTCAAAGATGGCCCCATCGGGGACACTATATGGCGTGGTCATAACAAAAGACTGGTGTTGTTAACTGAAAGCCCTGTGTAGTATGTTGCTATGGCGGAGGAAGTAAATTACACTGCAACCCCATGGGATGGGTTATGTCTCATTACAGAACACTCAACGACTATCGTAAACACGGAGGAGATAAAGCAGTGCGCATTTACTCAATAGCCGCAAGCCCAAGCCACAGGTAGATGAGCTACGTTCGGATCCTGAATAAGCCTACAGTAAGCTGTCCTCCCGTCTTGCCTCGGTGATAAAAATAGTTTTAAGGTTGACTATATACTCCGGCACGGGGTGGGAAAAGACAAGAACAGAACACGACCAAGTAGATAAATAAAACAGAAAAATGAGATCAAATAAAGTCAAAACCTACAGTAAAAAAAAAAAAAAAAAAAAAAAAAAATTAAAAAATTAATAAATAAAAAAATAAAAAATAAAAGAAATAAATAAATAAAAAATAAAAAATAAAAAAAAAATAAAAAATAAAGAAAAAAAAGGAAAGAAAGAAAAAAAGAAAGAAGATGGCAGCTAGGCAGAGGCTATCAGGTGTCGCTCGTATATTATCAATAAATTCGTGCTGGTGTCAAGTCAGATCGTCGCGTGGTTGTGATTGTCCACGTACCAAGAAAATTTACACTGAATATAGAAGAAAGTATTCGCAGGCCTGTTCCAAGTGCAGTAATGGGTTCCTCACATACAGTGCATTGCCCCAAACGATGCACGGAGGCGGTAAAGACATCTGCTTCAACAACTATCCGCAATAATCCCGACCGACATGTCCAGCCTGCGAGTTGACACAGTCCATCCTGTAATCGGCCGAGATTTGATCAATCAATATCGTGGGTTACAGAAACGAGGTGTGAGACATCACGAGGCCTCTCTAAACGCTATTGAACGTCTGTGTACCCTCCGCTTATTCGCCGCAGAGTTCCGCTTCCCCGGTGTTGCACAACATTTCGTAATGGTCTACATAGCTCCCGATCTAGCTGGATGGAGGCGGATAGTAACTACTCTTGGGGAGTATGCCTCTATCACCTACGTTCAGAGTAGCTGGAAAATGCTGATACTATTGCTCATACTTCGTAAATCAAAACAGGCACGAGGAAGAGAAAGAGATAGTGCCTAAATCAGAAGGAGAAAAATGATGAAGTTGGTAAGAAAAGGTGCAATTTTGTTAGGAGATAAGATAAGGCATAGTAGAATGGGGTAAAAATGAGCGAAGGCGACGATGATGGCAGTTAATAAAGCTTTTACTGCAGAGAAATCCTCCAAGTAAGGCAGTTCAGTGAAAGGGCATGCTGATCTCCTGACGTCCAATCACTTGATTGCATACCTTTGCCACAAATTCAATCTTGTTGTCGACAGGGAAAAACGTCGTGGAAATATCGTAACGAATTCGTACCTGCCTCCGACCACCAACTACCCTGACTTCAGTTTTCCCTGCAGGGACTTGTCTAAACCGAATCTCGATGGCAGTAAGAGGTTCCAAATCTCAAAAGAAAAACTGTTATCAGAACAATGCCGCGAATGCCAAAAAAAAAAAAAAAAACAATTAATTAATTAATTAAAGTAAAGAGAAATGAAAGGAAAAAAGGGAAAAAAGGGAGACTTACCTGTCACAACAGCCGGTGGCCGTGGATCCCTTGACACAAATATGTTCTTATGGCGGTCTCCAAATTCGCTGTCAAGAAAGTATTCCGTAACATTTTCTGTTTCCACTGCACCGTCATGATATGTCCTCCCCTTTATTCATCACATCATTAGCAGACACGCACCAAAGTCGGAACGCGAGGAATTGTAGTTACCATATCGAACACCCAGATCGCCGCCCCGGTAACCATGTTTCTACCGTCCACAGGGTCTCGTGTAAGGACGTCCGGTCGTGGCTGACCATGTCTGTCTGCGTCATACTGCTGGGCACATTCAATCCCGATATGCTGGGGACATTTGTGGATGGATAGCACGTCATCGAGGCCGTAAACCCCGGCTCCATTGACGACGGCTAGTTGCCTAACAAACATTAGTTACAATCTCCACCAACGTCGTCAAATAATTGATCAACGTACGGCTTGTCAGGAGTGTAGACATCTAGCGCATGTTTATCCTTTATCCTCCGCTTGACTGACCGTAAGATGTAGGCATTTTCTGCCCCACCTCCGACCAAGTAAACATGCTACGTCCATTGTCAATTACGATTGTCTCCATTGTGTTTTCTGCCTAGACTCCAGGAAATACTTGCCTGCTTTTTACCACCAAAGCCGGCTGTGGCTACAGTATGGTGCTGTTCGCTGATCAGACTTACCGCCATATTAATGACAGGGTCGAGAAAAGCTTGTATGTCTCGAGCGGACAGGATTATTTCCTTCCGGCGACAGTCGTAAAAGTCCGGGTTATTAGACGATAGTAGTGACCAGAACGGCAAACGGCATTCCCAGCCGTGCTCCTCTAGGTTTTCGGGGGCGAATCTCTCAAAGCAATCCCGGAACTCGCGAATCAAGGCACTACTTGGACCTATGGACTCCGTGTTCTGATTTTTGAATGTGTCCTTAAACCTCTCATACATTGTTCTGTAGAAAGCCGCCTCCACTGATAACATGCCAAGGTCCCCTGGTATGATGGATTAGCTTCGTTGGTAATGAGTTATGCAAAATGGGAATACCTCGGGTTGGCTCGAGCTGCCGAATATAGCGGCCAAACTCAGTTTGACGGATGAAGACCGATCCTACATCCTATGTATGCCAGGATTTCAGGCACGAATTATAACCACAGGGGCACCAAACATATAAAAAAATGATAAAGAGCGACATAACGAAATTAAGGGTAAAACTCACGATAGTTCCTCCGCCGATATCACATACGAGCATGACGTCGTCACCCTAATTCATTAGCTAATTGTCAACTATCATTACCGAGATCGTAGCAGTAGGATCTACCATAGCGTACCTGGAATGTATCCATCTTCTTTCTAAAGATATCCACTGCTGCCGCTATGGGCTCCGGAATCATAGTCAGTATGTCGTTTGTTTTTAATGCTAGCCCGGCATCCTTGACGATCTGTTCCAGCGCCTTGCGGGTTTCCCTTGCCCAGATTCCCGGTACAGTGATAGTGTAGTGTACCGGGTGATAGGAAGGCCCTTGGCGGGTATGTCTGAAAATAGCTTTGCTTGAATACTTCCAGACACAATCCAGGTAGTCTTTTATAACATCGGAGGGCTCCTTGGCTTTCGGTAAGGAAAAAACCCCCGTGACCGACTGTGGAATTCCAAAACGCATAAGGATCATGATCTCGATGAAAGTTAGGTTCAAGCAACGGTTTGAAAAGAGATGAACAGTTTTCCTTGCTCGCCAGTACCTGGGCCCCCCATCGGGTCGCCTCTAGTTTCTCGATACCGTTCTCGGTTTTATTCTCGTACTGGACGATCGAGGCGACTTTAGTTGCATTTATTTTCCTGGAATTGGCAGCGGGCCACTTATCAATGAGGTGATCATTATCTTCCCCTCCTCGCACTTCAAGGCTCCTCAAGGAGTAGGATACGCCTGTGAGTATTGCTTGTCAGCAAAGTGTTATATCTCAGAAGAGAATGGCATTTTTGGAAAGGATAACGTGCCAGTGTAGGTCGTGCCGAAGTCGACACCGACCATGATTTTTCCATCTTCCGCTACTCTCAGTGGCATCGTGAGAATGTAAAAGTACGTTCGAATAAAAGACTGTCGCAATGAAGCGTACTAGTTAACCGAATTATCCTTGTGTTGTTCTCGATTCCCAGTGTTAGGATGTCAGACGCAGACATATCCCGAAGACCTCCCTATATAGTGACTCGCGGTTTCACAGTTAGTTCTTATTCAGAGTGCAGGATCATATGATGATGCACTGGCAGCTACTCAACTACACAAAGTGGTGCACTCACCCTAGACACTTCCACATGATGGTCACGCCAAACGAAAATCTTGTCGGTGGTTATACTGCAAGCAATCCTAGTCACTTATTTCGATGGCAGCACAACAGTTATTTCTGTAATCCATAATCTTCGCTGGCATTTCTTCGTTTCATGCGCCTTCGTTGCACGAATTACGTTGGCTGAATACAATACACGCGTGAGTATCTGTAGTATTTGCTTGTCCCGTTTCGATGGGTTACAGAGTGCGTGTGTGCTTGATCCAGGGCAGTGGCAATATGATCTCAACGTTCCCATATCGTTATCCATCGCAAACACAAGCGATAAGGAAGGTCACTCTTTCTTGCACTCAATCTATAGGAGCTTGTATTGATGCCGCGATGAAGACCCGTGGCGTCCAAACCGTCTTGGCTGCCCCTAACTTTTTTTTTTCAGACTATCTTTCACACTATCTACTCGTTCCGCCCCAATCTGACAAAGAACACGGCCCCAGCCTGCTGAAAGAAAGGCGCCCGGAACTGACAAATTTTGTACCACATAGACAGAAGATCAACAATGAGACGCCATGTCAGACTGTGCCATCGAGCCAAACGCTGTCGGACAAATTACAGTCTGTGCATCGATGCAGTCAAATTCTGGTCTAGCCTCTCTTTTGTCTTACATTTGTGCACCACTGTGCGCTCTTCCACCTTCCCCTCATTTCCCAACCCTTCCGCGTTCCCCGGGTAGTACAGTTCTACACACCTTCATTCATCCTCAAGTTATCTCTACCATCACCGAAGGCCGCCGCCTTATCCAATGCTCAGTTAGAGAGGTGGCCATATCACCTTCTATCTACAATGGCAGCCAAGATGGCAAGGAACAAGGCAAAACACAACGCAAAGGCTAATGCAAAAGTACGTACACTGAGCACGTGACTCTATCTGTTCATCTCGTCCTCCCTCCAATGGCCCCCGAGATCTAACATCCAGGAGTCCTCTGCCCCTGCCCCATCAGCATCTTCATCCTACAAGCCGTCCTCGGGTGGGACACAGGATGGAAACGGCGAGGGACATCTAGACACCGTCGAATTTCGGAGATCGAAGCGTATTCGAGCCATGAAGGATTCGAAAACAGAAGTCCGTTATGGTACCAAATCTAAAGCCTTGCCAATGTTAGATAATGTCAAGTCTGTGAAGGAACCGCCACCGGACGATACGCAGTGTCCTATCGAAGAGCCACCGACTGCTATCGCCACTCCTAAGGAACAGCACGCGGACAATAACGAGTCTGCCGAGGGACCGATACCAGACGACGCCCAGTCTCCTGGGGAACAGTCAACGAACAATGAAGGGACCGTGGAGGAACAGCGATCGAATTTTGTTCCGTCTGTTGAGGAATTGCCACCAGATGATGTCGGTTCTTCGAGGGAACCGGACCAAAACCTCAAGCAAAAAGTGTATCGAAGATCAAAGAAACAAGGTCGGAAGTTGAACAGACGTTATCGAGACATAAACAGACAACAGCAAAAGATGAGCAAACAGCATCTGAAGACGTATAAGCAATTATCGAGGGAGAAAAGAAAACATCAAAAGCTCAAAATGAAGCACCAATTACTGCAAGATGAACACCATCGCAGTACAGAGCAATCCGCTAGGCTGAAGGAGCAATGCCAGGATATGAAAGCACAATACGAAAGAATGAAAGAACGGGTAGACTGTCTGGAGGATTGGACAGCTGAGGCACTACACAAAAACCAGTATTTGGCCGCTGACCCTAGCGGCTGGGAATGCAGATCGCATGACTACTACGAGAAAGAGTTCTTCGGTCTTTGGGCCCTCCTAAAAAACTGGGCAAGACTCCACGCTCATGAGGAAACGGCCGTCTTGGACGGTCTTTCCGCGAACTATAAGAAAGATCTCGTCAAAAGTTTGGATGGCTACTGTGCCCAACTTGACTTGAATGAAATCCTTGGTGCTCTTGAACTAGGTGATATATTTGGAACGGAGATCGTGACCATGTTTCTTGTCAAGGACTGTCTTGAACGCTTCTTTCTGAACCCCTTTTGGTACATTGTGCCTCATCCAGGAGAAGGGACCGAGTTTGACGAGGAAGTTCTGCCACGAGCTACTCGCTTCGGTACCGGACTTCATGAGCTACTTAAAAAGTTCGACACTGGTAAGTAACCCTTCTCTCCGTTAGGCAGCGATTCCGTAATATCTTACTGTTATTTTCAGATGGCAAGGAAGGGTTTCTAGCTCAATCATGGCGCCTATGGACAGCCCGTCTTTGCAGCACCAACGTCCGTGCTGATCAAAGCAACTTCGCCAAGAGCATGATCGCTCGCCGAAACCTCATGATCAACACTATGGTCAAGCAAGTGATGTCTCACGAGCTACTGGAGCCCCTTTTAAAAGTTTCACCTGACGAGAAATCAGTCGCGCTTAAAGAGCGGAGTCTGACAGTAGCATATCAGCGTGCCGCAGAATTCTCTGTGAGACTATCAAAGGACGACCATCATGTAGTATTTCGCAACTTGCATGAGCTCGGAGGAGTCTTCGATGTGTCGAACCCAGATATGGATGCAGATTCTTCCCAAGCTTTTGACAGTGTCCACCTCAATGGCCACCGGATTATGAGCATGAGGTATCCAGCGGTATACTTCTGTGCGGGTTTTATCTCTCCTGACTATCGCCAGCTTATCGTTAAAGCGAATGTCTTTGTGGAAGATAAGACAACAGTCAAGATGACTGATCCTACCCCAGAATGATGGCAACTGTTTTCATTGCGTAATATCTTCACTCATGTTCCCATGTTTTATTGATGTTTAATTTATTCCTCTTCCTTCTTATACGAGAAATAACAAGTTCACAAAGAGACAGGTACTACAAGAGCCCTAACAAGCGTAGATATCCATTCTCATGGCGAGCCTGAGCACTCAAACCATCCTTGGCAAAGCCCGTCCCACAACCATCCAACAGGCTATAATCCTTACCTGCACGCCAATCAAGCACTGGATTACACCGTGAACAGACACTGAAGAGTAAAAGTGTTTGTTCTTGTGGCTTGCATCATCTACCTGTGTCCCTGAATCGAAGCGTTAACATTTGTTTTACATGTGGCTTGGCGTTATCTGATGTACGGAAAGTCCAGACTTTCAGGAAATGATTCCCAGAGGCGGCGTCTGGCTTCCCTTGATGGAAGCTCAGTATACTGGCTCATTTTACGAATATTCAAGAGAGCCTGGCTATATGTCGATGTGACCTGATTATGGCGTAGCGAGCTGTTGATTGAAGTGCAATGGGTGGAGTCCTGTTCGTATCTTTATATTGATGAGGAAGGAAATTCATGATGGAGCCATACAAGATGCCGACCACAGATCTAGCAGTGACTGTATTTGAAAGATGCGATAGTTAATGGGTTGATGTACATGACATGTTGAGGCAACTAGTGTAGGCGTAGTCACGTGCCTGGCGCTCAGGCCTCTTCGCTTTGTTTTGCTAGAAGCACCTAGATAGCTAATTCAACACACTCTTATACTGCATTCGCGTTAGTTCGCTTGCTTTTTCGTTGTTTCGTTGCTCTACACGTAATTTCGCGCCTCAGCATGACATACTAGTATCCGTCACCCAGCCCGTTGAGACGTTTCCGGAGATTCAGGATTAAGCATCGCCCCTCTCCAAAGATCGTCTATTCCTTGCTGTATCCTCCCATGTTATCTAAAAAATGCCAACAAAGAAAGGCAGTTCTTTGATGTATCTGTTACGCTACTCTTAATCTCCCCTTCCCCTTCTATATCTCCTTTTGGAGAGCGACTTTACACCAGCCAATGATATACCTCAATTCATCCAGATCCTCTTCATAATTTACTGTATAAAACTTGTCAAGGTACAAACTACGAATACGAAGGCCCATATTGCCCAGCAAGGACGGCAAACAGGCTGCCTGGAAAAGCCTCGCTTTCAAGGTAGTCCTCTCGCGAAAGAGAAATTCGATACATCTTTGAATCGTTGAAGTAGCTTCTGGAGAATCAGGTTCATTTCTAGTTGCCATGACATCCATAACATCGAGACATTTGGCAGGCAACAGAAAGGGGTCCTCCCACGCAAGTTCGAATGAGTCGAACTCGAACTCGGTCTTGCTACCATAGTGGAGTATATATGTGGGAGAGGCCAAGCTATATAACCCTATAGACAGGTTCAACAATAGGTATAAGGCATACCATTTTTCCGCACACTGACCATTCAAAACACGTTGCGGACCAGGAAGCAGGCACGAACCCGTATAACAGGCTCTTCCCTGTCACAATAACGTGAAGTTGGTCAGGTGCACGGTTAAACATCGCCTCCAGGAGCGCAGGGGTTCCTACAGAAGCAGCAATATATAGTAGTGTCGAGTCAGTATATTCTGTGCATAATAGCTTTCCCGGGTATGTGCAGTGAACATCCAGACTTTGGTTCATTACAAGCTCAGTTCACGCGCTCGAGTACCCTCCCATGTCGCATAACCGGGTAGCGAGTTAGACAGAGGAGGTTGTGGCACGTGCACCCAGAAGAGCGTCTACCGTTAGTGGACACAATTCCCATTTACAGCCCAGAAGGCTTTCCAGGGTACCTGGTGGGCTGTCTCTGGTGCAAGTTAGTCTGGGGCCAGCACCTGTTTGCACATTACACCCTCATCTAGGGCATGAGGATATCTCCCTTGTACAGTGTAAAAAGAGTATTTCTGTAGAATAAGATGCTCTTTCATCACTTTTTCTCCCGGGCGCAAAAGCGACTCAGATGGATTGATCATGTGGTCGCTGTTCTCTTTGTCCGAAACCTTTCTAGCTCACTTCTCTTTGTTGCTGTTTGTTGATCCCATTACTTCCTGTGAGTCATGGTACAAAAGTCCATGTGTACGCTACTTTCCACATTCTGGCAAATGGGTTATCTACAAAAGAGATGTTGGTTGGCAAGATACCGAACCTTTGCCCTACTCAGTGCTCATATCTTTCAATCCAACAAATGGATATACCAAGCGGCGGAGACACCCGCGAAAGCGTTATAAGTGATACGGCCCCTGATGCTGCCGCCATCGACAACTACCTATCACAATTTCTTGTATTACAAGATGGATACATAATTTATGGTAAATGATGATCTGTGAGCAGGATTACATAGGTAAATAACATGTATTTCTAGCCTATAATACGTTCTCAAAGTACCATCCATTATTTCTGGGCCTCTGACATTGACAAGTCTTCTTTATCAGGGTACACATTATTGCAAAGCCCGCTTATGTGGCCATGAAGCTTACAGCTGGGGGTCGGTATATTACATTCAACATAAAATAGTAGACATTATACATTGTCATTCGACATCATCATGTTTGCTTTGATGGAGGCTACTTGCATATTAATTAACTCTTTACAGAAGGTTCTATATAATGTTGAAAACGATGAATAAAGACAACTAATATACGTGACAATCGTAAAATGCATCGAAAAGAAACACTTATACCCTGTCTATATTAATTTCGTCCAAAGACACTCGGTACACTACAAGCGCAAGTGGAACTTCATCGGAATCTAACTGCATGATCAACCGCAGACATCGGCAAGTCTCTATGGCAAATCCAAGGTAGACTCACGCCTTAATTGCAGGATCTCTTCGAGCCCTTTCACTTGCCTTGCAATATACTGGAGTTTTTTCTCGGCAAACTCTAGTTCTTCCACATGGTCCTCAATGTCCTCGAGCATTTCATGATACCTCTCGAGCACTCCATCGTTGATAGACCCATATCTCGATACCTTATTCCTCCAAGCTTGCCAACACTCGGAGTTCGATTGATCAATTTCTCCCGCGAGCTCTTCGAATTTCTTTGTCGCTTCAGTCAAGCTATTTTCATAATCATCAAACGCAAGTCGGTCTGCATAGAGTAACTGGGTACGGGGGCTCAGCTTCTTTAATAGACCAGACAGATATAATCTTCCATCATCTTCACCACCGGGTCGAGCTGCCCAAGAGGCATAATCTAAGATTCGCTCAAAGAGCGAAGTAGCCTCTGCGCCGTCAATGTCGAGCTTACTTGCAATTATCTGCACCAAATCAACCCATTGGAGCTTCCATTCTAACCATTCCATAGGGTCAAGTCGACAATTCCAGTAGAACTTGTCTTGTTTCCTATTGGCCAGCTGAATTGCACCTTCCAGGGTTTCGAAAGTAGGTTTAATTCCCAGATCGGGTAAATACCCAACAATCTTGTCCTTGCCCCTTTCAACTGCTAGATCTAGGGGCGATCGGTTTCGATGAGTGTCAAATTGATATAGCATATGGTTGCCTGTTGGATGCCAGAGCATATACCAAGGTATCTTGGTTGTGTGAACAATCTCAAGAGCAGTCAATTGTTCTGGCGCTCGGTCGAGTATGTGCTTTATCATCTCGGGAGTGCCTTTAGGAACAACAGCGTGCAACCAAGATATATTTTCGCGCTCTACAGTAATGCCATCGTGATTTGTATCCACTTCCGTAAATGTGTGGTGGATACTCAGGCCCTGTCCAAGCGCAACCTCAAGGACATGTGGCGCATCTTGCATGCCACATAGCTGCTCGGCCATTTTCAGGTTTGAGAAGATGACACCACGCCCAAGGAAGAGTAGAGTTGTTTCTTTCCAATGCGTCGAGTATAAGTTGTACTGATGCCAGTTCGCCAACTCGTCCAGTATAGACCATTCCGATGGCGATGACCAAAGTGTCCGCCGGGGTTTGGCCCCCTTTCCGAGTAGCATTTGGATAATATCAATCCTAGTACATCGGCCAGCTCGTAGCAATAGTGATCCCGATCCGTGTCCCCATATTTCCATATTGGGATCGATGCCTGCGTCGATATACTTCTCGACAAGGTTCCGGTCATTATTTGTGATAAGGGCGTCTAGTCGAGGTAACCTTGCTATGTTGTCTCTGTCGGTATCCTCGGATGTAGCACGTCTGAAAATGTTTTCATTCAAACCCCTATAAACATATACATATTTGCATACAGTAGTTGCATGGTTCAGGGCTGCCAAGGTATACTTTTCTCGTAGGACCGCCTTGAAATCCTTGCAAGTGCTAGATAAATGGACGACGGATATAGGGTCCAGCCATTGAGTAAGACGCAACAATATCTTGCGGGGAAGCATTCTCCATGGTCAAGGTAGACTTGATTGATGCGAAGAAGTAAGTTAACTCCTTGTGATGATGCGTCCTGGGTAAGATGAACACAAGTTTGACAGCTAACGAGGACGTAAGAAGAAGAGTATAAGAGCATATTATATGTACATTAGCCTGCTCCTGCCTATTTGCTTGAGCAGATATTGTATGGAGGAAATTACCTATGATGAATAGTGAAATAAACAGATCTCGAAGCCTGCTTTAAAATATAGGATAGCGTGCAGCTGCAGATAATAGCGTGCTCTTAGCAGCCGTGTAATGAAGAAGCCTCGTCTCATTCACACTTCTGTGGAATAAGCAGTGTAATCTTGGCAACAGAGGGATTATTTTACTTCTTTGTTCACCAAATGCCGTGTTGTTGACGGCATTGGCCGGGAAAAATCTATTTATTCTTGAACTGGCGCTTAGAAGAATAGCGCGGATTATGCATTACCCACAGTCTTTCCTATGTGCGTAGTTTCTGTGTGTTCACTTTATCGACTCAGCCACGCCTCACATCAAAGGCATGTGGTCCTCTCCGTATCTGGCTCCTCTTATTTCTCACTCTCAATGTGATAGTTCAACGGATGTTTTGACCAAAGAATACTAACGGGCTGAATCGGCGCCCGGAAAATTTCAATCTGAACTCACATGAAATAAAGGCATGCTCCGCGGGTAATCGACCATCCCGAGGCCTAGTTGACGCCACATTAGGCCGGAATTCATGACGGTGAGATCACCCGCAACAGCATCTATGGGAAAGAGCCGCAACAATTGCAAACCTGGTTGTAGTGAGTAGTTTTCACTGCTCAACTAAATATGAATTGGTAACCTTTCATTGAGGCTTGCTCCCATCGCAGGTAATCAAGATCACAAGGGGACAACCGGTCACTGCACTGATTTTCTTGAGGAACACAGCAAAAGACAGTATTCCAACCTAACGTTAAATTTGCGAATTTGCCGATGCAGCTTCCAAGTTGGTTGCTACGTGACAAGTTCCTCCCAGGAAGAGAAACTCAATCCCTGTTGTTTCATGATTTTCTGCAACACAACCATGGTTCTGTACAAAGCCACAAAGGGGAATATGTCACCGGAATTAGCGACCAAGTAAAGTTCAGCCACATCATTCTTCTTTTTTATGCATACCTTCCTCGTGGGGTATCGTTCTCGCCTATCAGTCTGATAACCGACGGTTATAGGGACAGCTACCTTGGAGAAACCACGATCTGTGCGCACCGATATTGTTTTGAGAGGCTGGAATTAATTCCAGTCAACTTTGAAATATGGCGGGCGTTCGGAAATCGTCACGATGCGCGCATGGAAAAACATCATGGTGATATCATTTGATTGTACCTATCAATCAAGTGATGATCGGTTTTAAATATGGCAGGACTGCATGAAAGAAATAGATGTTTCACTAAAGCTATCCAACAGGCACATTCAAGATCTTCTGACTTCTCTCTCAAGTCCAAAAGGGCTTTTGTAAGGCCGACATACCGGGCAAAGTCATGGACTCTCTTTTCTCTCATAACGTCGCTATCGATCCGGGAGCTCTGGCAATAGATGATGGATTAAATCAATGGTCGTATTCAGACCTCGACCGTGAAGTCCAGCGTATCGCATCCCTTCTGAAGACCCTGGACCTACCTCCAGAGGAGCCCATTTGTATCTTGCAGGGTGCGGGCAGTGAGACCATCATTGCCCAGCTCGCCGTCATCCGGGCGGGCTTGACATGCGTTCCCCTCGAGCCTTCGATTCCAACTAGTCGCTTGATGAACCTCCTGAAAGATGTCGGAACACAGTACATTCTATCTAACCATACTTTGGACATTGACAATGATATGGTCATTATCCCCATCAGTGGCGAATACCACCCACCTACGAAAGCAATCCGACCGGAGACAGCCAGTGTTAAGCGTGTGCAACTGAAAGGTCTGCCCAACTGTGATTATCGAAGTCATATCCTGTATACATCAGGGTCCAGTGGAAAGCCAAAAGCTGTTCAGATTCCAGAGAGTGGCATCCTCCACCTTATGTTCAAAAGTCCTGCCACACCGCTTCTACCATCGGACCGGGTGAGCGTATTTAACAATCCGGGCTTCGATATGTCAGTTTTTGAAATATTCGTCGCTCTAATGTCGGGCTCCACACTGGTCACAGTGCCCCGGCCGGTGATCACGGATCCGTTGGAAGCTAAGAGTTTCATCACGCAGAAAAATATCTCTGTCTCTTTCCTAACTACTTCACTCTTCTCAATAATTGCACAAGCATGTCCCAGTGCGTTTACTGGTTTGAGACATGTCCTCATTGCTGGTGAAGTAGCCAATATGGCCAGCATGAAGGCTGTCCTTGAATCGCCTAATCCACCTCAACATCTGTGGAACGCATATGGCCCCACTGAAACGACGATAGTGTCAACAATGCATTCAGTTACGGCAGATGATTTGCGCTACGACAGTATCAGCATCGGTACGCCATTCGGCGATACAAGGCTTTTCCTTGCTGATGAAAACCTCAATATCATTACCGAGCCCGGAAGCATCGGCGAGATACTCCTAGGCGGACCTGGACTGACAGCAGGATATATCGGACGCCCTAAAGAAAATGAGGAACGATTTTTCGTCGATAAAGCAGGGTACCGACTCTACCGAA